GAAAGAGAGAAAGCAAGCTACCAGGTCTGGGACTCGAGCCACTGTTGGCCATGTAAGAGTCCAGCACCTTAACAACCCCTCCCACCTGTGGGCCCCAACAAATGATTTCGTACTCAACTATTCTTGGATGACCAAACCTGTGCATCCTAAATGTAGGACAGAATGGTTTTTAGTCACTCATCCCCAAAGCCAAGTACAATGCCTGGATACGGATGGATGAATGAATGGGAATGGCAATGCCAGCTATGTGCCTTCCTCTCTCACCCCTGCTTCCTGCCTGTCTGCATTTCCACTCCCTCGCTCCATCAGGTGTCAGGACGTCTTTAAGACATTTGGTCAAAAGGTGTCCCATGTGCAAGTGACCTAAAATACCAGTCCCCTATATAGTCCAAGTTCTTGTCTCCTAATCTGACCACAGTATACAGCACCTAACACCCACCTTTCTCACCTGCTTACAGTTCTCTCTTGATGTACTCTAAAAAACTAACTGGAATGTCCAGCTAAAGTCATTGTTGCCTGCTTCTAGCTCTGCCTTGTAATTCACCTGATAAACCCTTGGTACACTCCTGGGGGCCTCATACCCTTCATTATATTCTTCTGAATTATTTTCTTACTCCTTACTATGGACAAGTTGTCCACTACTTTCAAAAATTCATAATCCAGGGGGCCAGCAGGTGGCATAGTGATTAAGGTGCTGGGCACTCCCACATGGCCAATCACAGTTCGAGTCCTGAACCGGGTAACTTGCTTGCTTTCTCTCTCTCTCTCTCTCTCTCTCTCTCTCTGTGTGTGTGTGTGTGTGTGTGTGTGTGTGTGTGTGTGTATGTGTCTGTCTCTGGTCAAATTAAATTAATGAATAAGTAAAAATAAATAATTCTTTGGGGAACCAGCAGTTGGCGTAATGGCTATGTCGCTGGACTCCCATATAGTCAACCGCGGTTTGCGTTCCGGACCCGGTGGCTTAAAACTCACGCCAGGCGCATGTGCATGCATGCCCAAGATCCCGAGAGGAGAATAGAGGAGAAGGGATTGCAGAAATAACCCCCTGGGGGGGGGGGTGATTTCTCGCTTTCTGTCTCTAATGTCTCTGTCTGTCTGGTGAGCGCACACGCCCTATAGCGAAAATCTCTCCAAAAAAAAAAAAAAAAGTTTCCCTGTCAGTAAATGACCATGTGTCATGCTTCTGGCCACCAGCTTTATTTGAGCACATTTCAGCTGCTTGAATTGCCTTCCAGAGACCTGCTTCCTGGAGGGAAGAATTCACTCTCCCAGTTCCTCTAACAGGTAGAGAAGTCACATGGCCATACACAACTGCATGAGACTTGGAAGCTGCCATATGTGTGAGCACAGAGCCACTGCAAAACTATCAGTGAAAGTGATGGCTGAGGCTAAGCCTTAGGGGATCTAGGCAGTGGTATCTGGTGTCCAGACCTGAGCACCAGGGCAAGGAGCTGTGAGCTCTTCCAAGTGGCAAGAGGAGATGCTTCACAAAGTGGTCTAGGCCTTGTTTTGGCTGTTCAGCCTCTGACTCTAACGCTCTGGGCTACCTAGTATCTTTTCATGGATTCCTTTTCTCCTCTTACACTGGATAAAGTACATTCTACGATGTGCAATGAAAAGCCCAGACTTTCGCTCCAGGTCTGTGATTTGGCTTAGAGGCCTGCATTTCTGACAATCATCCTAGCTGATTTCTGATCATCCTGAACCATACCTAGAGGAACAGCTCTTTGACCTCCACACAGCACCTATACATTCACCAATACCTTATCCCCCCCACCTTTCTAACCTGTCTCACCTGGGCTGCCCATCCCCTCCGTAGAGCAATGATTTTCTCTGCTCAAATTCTTTACTTAATAAACGCTTTGAAGAGAATCACATAAGCACACAAATTAGTCTCATCATTTGGGTAAATATTTAATACACTGCCTGGTTTTCAGCCAACACAGTGTCACATTTTTTTGTGCTTTTTTTGACCCCAAAGGAGGACTCTCTAGGCTAACCCTTCAGTCCACCTTTCACTCCCTTTTCATTCCCTACAACAACTTTTAAATATTTACTCCTCCCTTTTAAGCTGTTCAATTCATACGCCTTTATTCTTCACGCCTCTCCTGTCTGTAGTGCCACAGCCTTGGCACACGTCCTGGTTTCCTTGTGGCCCTTGGCGGTAGGCTCTCATTGGTCTCCATTATTCTAGTATCGCCCCATCCTCATCCATCTTCAATGTCTCATCCCTGATGTACAGACCTAGTGTATCGCTCATCTACCTAAAGCCTGCAATGGTTCTTCCTTCCCCTAACACAGTGTTTTTCCCCGTTTTTGCCCCTACGGCCTGTGAAAATCAAGCCCTGAAGACCTGAGAGAAATGCGAATAGGCTCGTAAGTCAACCCTCTGCTGTCAAGCCCAAGGGCTTTGCTCCCTCCAAAGCCCATCTCAGAGATGCTGAGGGACTCACAGAACCCATATGGCCTTCAGATTTCTGTCTTTTACAGGAGGCCCTTCACCTCCCTGATACATCCCACTTGCACACTCCCTTGGCGGGTGAGGGGGTTACCACTCTCCATTCCTGAACACACGGAGCCTCCTAGTGCTCAGTTGCTGTTCTCACTCAGCTACCTACTGGGCTAGGCAAGACCTAGTCCCAATGTCCCCACTCTCTAGTGTCTTCCTTTTCCCTCCAAAGTGAACTGCTGTCTCCCATTTGTCACATTCACAACCTGTCCCTGGAAGCATACTGCTGTCCTTTGTGTTTCCCGCTCCCCACTGGAACACATGGGGACCACATTCAGCTTCGTTTCTCTCCTGCCTACCTCATGAACCATGTACGGCCTGCTGAATTGCCTGTTCAACAACTGCTTGTTTACTCTAAATGCTCCCATCTCTCTCTCTCCTTTTTTCCCCTTAAATTTATTTATTTCGTCCTTCCTTCCAAGAGGCACCCTCAACAGGGTCCTGAAGCCATGATCCATCCCTAGCTGCAGCAGGCCCAGATCACAAGCATGTGTATGCATGTGCCTGGCATGCTCAAGGAAGTCCCAGGACATGAACCCAGGACCTTTTCCACGTGAGTCCAGCTGCATTATCACTGCACTACCATCTGCTCCCCATCGCCTTTTTTCATAATAAACACATGCATGATGGTTTGGTACATTAAGCACTATTTGAGCTTTTTATTTGCTCCTCTTTTTTCCCTCTTGGCTGATTTTCATTTGAATCATTTAAAGACATCTCAAAATGTCCTTGTAGCTTTTGTTATATTCATAAGGTTAGTGACTATAGAAACTATTAGGGTCAAAACATAATGGAAACTACTCCACAAACAGAGCAGAATACATAAGAGCCACTGCAAATGCATTGTATCTGAATGAGAATTAAAAGGGAGGAAAATGAAAGGTAATTCTATCTTCATTTTAATGTGAAGGACAGAGACAGTATCCATTTCTACCTCACCCAGAAAAATCAAAACCAAAATATCCATTCTAAGCACTTATTACTATTTAGCTCTAGATAAGGTCAAACTTCTATTTTACTTCGTTAACCTGAAGAGTCTTACACAAATTCAATAAAGTTGAAAGTGAATGTGCTCTCTGGAGAATCTATAAATATCAATATTAACAAAGAAGCATTCTCTCATCTCTTCATATAAATAATACACATTAAAATAGGTTTCACAGTATAGTTTACCACTATGGAATAAGAAACACTGCTGAAATCTATGAAATGTATTTCATCTAAATTCTGGTTTCAAAAATTTAAGCTTTATCTCTATGGAAACCCAGTGTCAGTAGTCCCATGGCTACAACAGAAAAAAAAAATCAAAAAGGATTTACAACTAGATAACCAAACAGAACAACTTTAAGTTAACTTCACATTGGGTGATTATAGGTAAATCAAATACTACTCATACTCAAATGGTTTTCATCCAAATAAACCTTATCCTTACACAGAGTTCTTCTAACTGTCATTTGAGAAGTAATGTATTTAATTATGTTTTTGTAATCTTATGATATTTTACACTTAGATATTTTATTATACTACTCTCTATAATCAATGGGAAATATTTGGTTAATATTAAAAAATTAAGGATGAACAGCTAATCATGGCTTTTTTTTCTTTAAGGGTTTTGTTATAGGGTGTATGTACACGTGAGAGAGACAGAGACAGTGAGAGGGAAAGTGAGAAATCATCCCCAGGCGGGATGGCTATGCCACAATTCTCTTCTTCTCCATTCTCCTCCTAGGATTTTGGGCATGCACACATGAGTGCTTGGCATGAGGTTCTAGCTACCAGGTCTAGGACTCGAATCTTGGTCAGCCATCTGGGAGCCTAACCATCTTAACCACCAAACTACCTGCTGGTCCCAAGCATAAACGCTAACTTCACAAATTTATCCTAAGTTTCCCATTCCACTGGTCATTATAATGTTCAGCTCCATCATTCAAAATAAGGAGAATAAGGGGCCAGCGGATGGTGTGAATGGTAAAGCGCTGGACTCTCACATAGCCAACAGCAGTTTGAGTCCCAGACCCATGGCTTGAAAAGCATGCCGGGTACATGTGCATACACGCCTCAAATCCCAAGAGGAGAAGGGACTGCAGCATGGCCATCTCGGGGTGGGGGAGGGAAGAGGAGAGGTATGGGGGGGTGCTGTTGTCTCACTTTCCCTTTGGTGAGTATACACACCCTATGGAAAAAAGAAAAAAGAAAGAATTTGGAAGGAAGGAAGTCCAAGTGCTAGTTTTTAAATCTGAATGGGAGAAGTATGAATTTTGAAATCTGTCTTGTTCTTCAGCTTTTCAATCTTCCCTCTTCAAATAAGCACTTTGCAAAAAAAATACCAAGAATAAAAACCTATATGCACACATATATATCAAATAACATACTGCATATGAACTTCAGCACCCACAGTAATGATCTGATATTGATGTGCTCCATTCATGAGATTTTATCATGTTGTTATACCACAAACAAACAATTACGTCAAAGTTGAGATCACACTTACGCATATAAGGCAGTTTTTCTGGGCAGGGAAGGTATGGTAAATAGGTGAAGTTTTCTGGAAGATACGTTGTTGTTTGAACAAGATAATCACTTGAATTATTGCCTTCAGGATAATCTTGGAGAAAGAGAAAAAAGTTACAACCAAAAATTTGCCATTTGCTTTTCTCCTAATATGCAATATGTCACTGTCACTGTGAGGAGACTACAACATGCAATCTACAGTGGTACTTAAAAGCAATTATCTATAAAGAACTAGAGAAAAGCAAGCCAGTGCTGGAAGCGACCTCTCAGCATGATTTCCCAAGAGGAGTCTAGAGTACAACCCGCCCTTGTCCTCACACACAAACGTAGCAGCCCCATTTGCAACCAGAGCACCTGCTCCCACCCCTGTCCCTGAGCCAGATTTAAAGGTGTGAAAGTACACAGAAGGAATCCTCTGCACCATCCAACAGCCCAGGGTGTTCTGAAAGACCACACAGCCACAGCGCTGCTCCTGGCATCCACAAAGCTGAGGGGTGGGAGCAAAGTCTTCTCACCACCTCATACTTAAGAAACTAATTTACTCGCAAGGCGAACTTCTGTAATACATCCTGTTCTAAGCCTTTAGTCATTCCCAAACAGCCCCTGGAAAGCCCTCGAGCTATTATCACATTAGATCCATTATCTTTTTTTTTTTTTTTTTTTTTTTTGAGAGGGCTCTGGCGCTTACCAGAAAGACAGAGAGACAGAGACAGAAAGCGAGAAATCATCCCCCAGGAGGGATGGCCACGCGCAATCCCTTCTCCTACATTCTCCTCTTGGGATCTTGGACACGCAACACACGCGCGCTTGGAGTAGTGAGTTTAAGCCAGCAGGTTGAGGACTTGAACCACGGTCAACTACACGGGAATCCAGGGACATAGCCTTTATGCCAACTGCTGGTCCCAGGTCCATTATCTTTAAAGTCAGAAACTTACAGCACATGTAGGGCAGTGGTTGAGAACACCAAGGTCAAATTTGTGAGTTCGAATTTTTGCTCCAACATATACTAGCTTTGTGATGTAGAGCAATACATAATGTAATTTCTCATCTGTGCCTACCTCACATTGTCGTTCTGAGATTTTTGATAAAATGAGTAAAGTGCTGGTATGGTTTGAATGTGTATTCCCCAAAATTCATGTGTTAAATTTGGTGAGCTTCTGTAACAGTGTTGAGATGGTATACACTTAATCCAATTATGGTATTGAAAGATAGGGGGACTGGCAGATGGCATGGTGGTTAAGGCACTGGACTCCCACAGAGCCAATCATGGTTCGAGTCCTGGACCTGGCAGCTTGCTTTCTCACATTCCTTCTCTCTCTCTTCCTCTCTGGTTAAATTTTAAAAAATAATAATAATTGTGTGTGTGTATAAATATACACACATATACATATATATACACATATACATATTTAACTTACATATATACATATATGTATATATAAGTTAAATAATTATTTTAAATTTTATGTATATATATGTATGTTAAATAATTATTTTAAAATGAAAGAAAGATGGAGACTTTGGGAAGTGAACAGGCATCAGGGAGGAGCCCCATGATTGAGCCTTGGTGGATTTATAAGGACGTCTTGCTGGTGAACAAGATGGCAGAGAGCAAAAGCCTAAGCAGAACAGAGCAGGCCTGTGTCCACATGCCTCTACTAGCAAGAAGACTCTGACCAGATGTGGCTCCTGGGTCCTGGACCTTTAAACCAACAGCTGAACAGACATCTGTTTTATAAATCACCCAGACTCAAGTAATTCATTAACAGGACAGGTTAGAACAGTGCTTAGAACAATTCCTGGCTCATGTCAATATTCAGTCATTGTAGCGATCAGAGATTGGTTTAGAGATGAACATCAGACCCAATGTGAGACAGTGACAGCTTTAGGACTTCTGAATAAGGAACCAAAAGATAATTCAGTCCCTTTCTGGAGCAAAGGTCTGAGATGTCAATATGAAAACCCTAATATGTCAGTTTCCTGAGAGGTAGAGAAAGTCGGCCAAGATCAACATGCAGTAAGTGAGAGACGGAAACAGCCGATTAAACTACTGAACATCTCCTGGACCACACTGTGTGAAGTTCTAGCAGACACTTCAGGAAAATGTGAAGACATTCTTTCAATCTTCAGTAATCTCCTTCAATGAGAGAGAATAAAAGCTAATCCGGGGACCACAAATGATGTGATGGTTATGTCACTCAACTCCCACATAGTCAGCTGCAGTTCGAGTCTTGGTCCCAGCAACTTAAAACTCATGCCAGGCATGTGTACATGTGTGCCCAAGATCCCAAGAGGACAATGAAGGGGAAGGGACTGTGGCATGGCCATCCCCCTAGGGGTTGATTTCTTGCTTTTTGTCTCTCTGGCAAATACCTGTGCCCTATAACAAAAATCTCTCTTAAAAAAAAAAAAAGCTACTCTGACCCATGGGGAAAAAATGGAAGAATCTTGCAAACGGGATATAAAATATCCCAAAAGAGCCAAAGAAAACTAAGTGTGTCCCCTACACAACTCTGCCTGACATATACATATATATATGTGTGTGTGTGTGTGTGTGTATATATGTGAGTTGATGTGGATGCAGTTTGGGAGCCAGGATAGCACTTCTAGGCAAACAGACTCACCCCACCTTCAAGCCCATCTAATGGAAGAGGGCCATACTATAGCTGCTCAGCAGAGGTTGATGGGGATGGACAAAGGCTCCAGCTGGTACCAAGGAAAAGACTGGTGCTAGAGGAAAATGTCAAGTTCCAAAGGATGGCATGGAAATCCCAAATATGAAGTTGACAGGCCATCAGTAAGGTGTTAGGATAATTAAATTATCAGGAACTCCAACATACAAACAGACCAGTGAGTACAGCAGTGGGTACAACTGCTATCTATTCCACCAGAAGTGGAAAAGCCTTAATCAGAGAATCCGCCCCAGTACGTCTCTCTGCAGAACCCTTGGAAAGCACCTGGCAAGGAAAATCCTCCAAGCCATGGGTGAAGAAAGGCTGGTGAACATTGTTTTGTACATACAGGGAGAGATCAAGGCCACAGAAACTCCTCCAGCAGCCCATACTCTATACCTCACCCATGTTATCTGAAAGAACTGCCGATACTAAACAGAAGTACAGAAAGTCCAATAAGGTTGTGGTTGTTTTCATATGATGCTTTTAAAAACTGAGAGTCAGCAGATGGTGTAATTGTTAAGTCACTAGACTCCCATGTAGTTGGCCACAGTTTGAGTCCCAGACCTGGAGACTTAAAACTCACATCAGGCACCCAGCAAGAGGAGAAAAACCAAAGCTCGAAGATGTTCTTTATAAAATTTCACAATACAAAAAAGATTCCTAATGTCTGCAGGAAGAAAAAAAATGGCCTATGTACAGTAGCTACAGCCAGAAGGGCTATCCATTTCTCAAAAAGAACACTGGAAGAGGGAACCAGCAGTTAGCGTAATGGCTATGTCGCTGGACTTCCACATAGTCGACCACGGTTCGCGTCCCGGACCCGGTGGCTTAAAACTCACGCCAGCACGTGTGCGTGCGTGCCCAAGATCCCGAGAGGAGAATGGAGGAGAAGGGATTGCGGCGTGACCATCCCCCCTGGGGGGTGATTTCTCGCTTTCTGTCTCTATATCTCTCTCTGTCCAGTGAGAACCTGTGCCCTATAGCGAAAACCTCTCCAAAAAAAAAAGAAAAAAGAAAAAGAAAAAAAAAAAGAACACTGGAAGAGAGGAGAAAATACCTGGGAATTTTGAAGTGAGAAGACAATGTCATGGGCATTTTGAAATCCCTCTTAGTGAGGTCAACTCATGTGCCTAAAGAGCTCAGGAAAAAATCACTGATAGAAAAAATAAAAGGTTCAGCAAATGAGGCGGGTGGATCATGAACAAGTATTGTCAATACAAACAAAAAGATCCAGAAAACAAGTATCTTGATAACCGCTTGACTCAGGACAACAAACCAACCATTACTAATAGATTGCTAACAACATGAATAATATTGATTTGAATTTCAATTGCAATATAATTATATTGAGAGGATAAAGGTAGGTGAAATTTTGATGTGTTATAAAGTGTTAAATACTTTTCTCTCTAACTAGGTATAGCTAAAATTGATAAATCAAGAAATAGCACTATAGGGGCCAACATGGTGGTTAAGTGGTTGGTGGTTGGTGGTTGGCATGGTGGTTAAGGTACTGAATTTCCATATGGCCCACTGGTTTGAGTCCTGGACCTGGTGGCTTGTTTTCTGGCTTTCCTTCTCTCTCTCTTTCTGTGTGTCTCTGGTCAAAATTTAGGTATAGCTAAAATTGATAAATCAAGAAATAGCACTATAGGGGCCAACATGGTGGTTAAGTGGTTGGTGGTTGGTGGTTGGCATGGTGGTTAAGGTACTGAATTTCCATATGGCCCACTGGTTTGAGTCCTGGACCTGGTGGCTTGTTTTCTGGCTTTCCTTCTCTCTCTCTTTCTGTGTGTCTCTGGTCAAAATTTAAAAAATAATAATAACAAGTGGAGTTAAACAAATAATTTTTAAAATAGTAGTATAGAAACATGATAAAGTATAAAATCAAAATCAAAAGTAGCTTCCTCTGAGGACTGGAACTTGAGGAGTAGGATAGGTGGTGGCTGTTTTTTGTTTTAACTCTTTTCTACTTTTAAAATATAAAAGTATTACCTAAAAGTGTAAGAAAATTTACACCGTTTGTTTTTCAATATGAATAAACAAGTGGCTGGAACAATAAATACTGAATGGCAAATTCACCACAAATTATCATAGATAACTCTCTCACCCCAGTTTCTTTTCTTGCAACATACCACCAAAAAGAACAGTTGTATAAAGATGATGACATTCCTTAGTGTCTTCATCAGCCAGTTTTTACCAGGCATCTACTATACACTAAATACTCATAGGAGTGGAAAAAAGACGATAAATAAGATCGTCCATTAGGTGAGGGGAGTCTGTTGCCTTTAAGTGTTCCAAACCTCACTTTCTTATCATCCTAAGGCAGAAAAATATTTACATTCTTACACAATTCTCAAATAACTTCTTAATGCCATATATACTAAGTTTAAATAAGATTAATTCTTACTTTGCAAAATCT